TGATGAGAAACTCTCATTCATCACCCACGTAGAGCATATCGTAAATGATGCAAATAGAACACTAGGGTTCATAAACAGGACATGCAGAGAATTTACCAACCCAAAAACGCTTCTTTCATTGTACTACGCTTATACATATATACACAACAAACTGATGTTTGCATCAGTAATATGGAATCCGTCTTACAATGTACATATAGTCAGGATAGAAAGAATTCAACACAAATTTTTGAAGATGTTAGCACATAAAACTCACCAACCTGTTACAGATCATCATTATACGCAAATTATGAAACAGTTCAATATGGTTTCCTTAAAAGATAGAAGAACGATTTCTGACATTTGCTGTGTCCATAAATTGTTGAATGGCCTCACTGACTGTCCGGATCTTTTGGAAAACTTGAACTTTAACACTCCTGATAGAACGTTTAGAACCTATCATCTGTTTAGAATACCGTTCCGTAGAACTAATCTTGGTCTTAATTCCCCTTTGGTCAGGGCTCAATAAAATCATAATAATTTCTGTAATATAGATTTATTTAACATTAGCTTGACCTTCCTGAAAAAGGCTTTAAAGTATGAGTATTACAGCTCTATGGCAGACTAAAATAGAAATGTTTTATTTTGTTACATAACTCAAGTTATCACCTCCAATAACATTTCTGGTATAATTTCAATTTAATATTGATTTCAGTTTTAATTAAACGTAAGTAAATGTTAAATTATGTATACTCCTTTTATTAAAAAAGTTAAATTAATAGTTAATTGCTTATAATTAGAACTACTCACTCAGTTTATGTTGTTACAACAATATCGGAGGATAAAAAAATATTAATATTGAAATATTCAATAATGTAATATATGTATATGTATACGATATTTTATGTAAGTTTAGTTTTAGTTCACTGAGGGTGTGTGTTGGGTTTACCTGTTAACCCCAAACTGTATATAAATAAATAAATCCTTAAGCTATCCTAATGAAATAAACAGGTCCTTCATGTCTGCATATACTGAAAATAATGAATCTAATTATCTTATTACCAGATATTACTCCAGCAAAATCAGTAATTCCAGCTTCACATTCAGCTTTGTTGACCAAAGCGTTGTACTGGATATATCGAAGATAAGATCAAATGCATGTGGTCCTGACGGCATAACCTTGTGTATGCTTAAGCTTTGTATATCAGAGTTATTAAATCTATTGACATTAAACTATTGCTTAGAGAAATGATATTTTCCGCGACTTTGAAGGGAGGCTGTAGTACGCCCTTTACTTAAGATCCCTGCTCCAACTGAGCTTGCTCATTTGAGACCTATTAGCCCATTCCATCCAAACTGTTAGAAAAAATAGTTAATGTATAGCTAAATCAAAACATTCTCCCTAAGCACCAGTCGGGTTTTAGGGGAGGGCAGAATACAACCACTGCTCTTTTAAGTCTTAATGATGAGTTTATATGGTCGCTAGATAAGAGGCTTGCCACTCTACTTATATCCTTGGATTTTTCAAAAGCCTTTGACACCATTGACCATCTTATGTGCGTAAAACTGTATCATTATGGCCTTGACCATACAGCGTTGAACTTATTTCGCAATTACTTAAGTCTTCGTAAGCAGAGCATTATTCTACATAACAAAAGATTTGAGATAACAACAATGACATCAGGAGTTCCGCAAGGTTCTGTTTTAGGACCGTTGTTATTCATTACATACGAGCACCTTCCCACTTCAGTTGGCCCACTTCAAGATTTGTACCAAAATATGCCTTTATAAACTAAACATGATGAAACTATTTACTTCTAAAACAATTTATTTTGTCATAAACATTTTAGATACACTCTAGTCGTAAAAAATACATATTTGAAATCACTAAGATCATCTGAACAAATAAACAATGTGCGAATAAATGCGCGAAGTTAACAAAGCAACAATTGAAATATTACCATTGGGTAACATCACCTTTATTTTTTATTACGGCTGAAATTCTTTGGGGCATAGTGTTAACCAAGTTTTGGCAAAAAATTGGGGTAAAATAATCCCATATTTCTTGAAGCTTTTGTCTCAGGTCGGTGATTGTACGAGGAGGATGTTGTCGTAGAACCTTTTTCATCTCGTGCCACAAAGCTTCAATAGGTGACAGATCTGGACTGTTAGAAACCCATTTCGAAAGTGGTACATTATTTTCTTCCATCCATTTTATAGCCTTTTTTGAGGTATGGCACGCTGCACCATCTTGCCGAAACACAAAATCTTGGCCGGATGTCACACATTCTTCCATCACTAGTAAAAGCGATTCTTCTCCTCCTTTTGGTGATATACTGCCCCAGACCATAATGGATGCTGGAAATTTCACTTTTCTCTTCAGACAGTCAACATGGAATGCTTAATTTTTTTACGAATAACTCTACTGCGACTGTCACCAACACAAACTTCGAAACGGGCCTCATCACTCCATTGTATTGCACACCATTATTGAGGTGTCCATTGTCTATGTTCTTTAGCCCATCTAAGCCGATTTTTCTTTTACAGTGGAGTTAATAGTGGCTTTTCTTTGGCCTATAAACAAGTTGCGCAACTTTAGGGTTTTTACTTCACTTTTTTTTATAAGGTAAAACTTACCTTGCAAGTGCTAAATCCCAGTTTGTGGGCCTCTCTATGAGTTGTGGACCTCGAAATTCTGCTTCCAACAGCGTCACCCCACAGAGCACTTAGTTTTAAATAATTGGCACGCCTGTTTTTCACGATTATTCTTCTTAATGCTCTTCGGTCGGCATTTATGATATTACTTTTTTTCACATATCGTGGCTTAATATTAACTGGACCAGTTAAGTTATATCTTCTAACAATATTTCTCACACTGTACCGCGATAAGTCTAACAAAGGTGCAATTTCTGAGTTTGATTTCCCAGAATTAAAAAATTTAATTATCAGTAACCGAATTTTCTCACTAATAACCTTTCCTCTACCCATTTTGAAAACCTTAACTACCCAAAACTATTTTAAACGTATTCTGACAGCTGTGATTAATAAAAACAATTGTCATGGCTTTTATTTTTCACAGCCACCTATGCGTTATAGACTTATTTTGCATTGAAATGAAAATGGGTTGATATGCTGTAATTGCAACATGTGTTATTTTTATGCTGGAAATTTGATTAGGGAGTGATAAAGTTGGTGTTTTCTACTATATATTATCAAAATATTCATTGTTAATATTTTAAACCTATAACACCTTGCTACATTTTTATTATTTGTGTTTGATAAGAAAAAACTAAGATTTCAATAGTTGGGCCCACTGAAGTGGGAAGGGGCTCGTATACAACTGATATCTTGAAATCCGTACAGTACTCACACATTCAATCTTATACTGATGACACTATTCTTTGTTTTTTTCATTTCAAAAGTAAGTCCAACTTCATGGCCACATAATGATTCTTTTCAAACCGTTAAGAATAAAATGCAAACGCTGACAGCAGTTAACAATACGGCAAAAAACTTCTTTGGCTTAATCACTGCTAATAAGGAACAAAAACAATTTTTATTTCTTTGCGTACAAGAACACAGGCAGAGGTATATATTGACTGTAAAAAGAACTTTGAAAAAATTAGTAAATGATGTTCTTTTAATAATAAATATCTAAGAAATATAAGATACAAATAAAGCAGTGTTTTATTGGTCGAACAAGAATTAGGTTTTAAAATCAATCCATACATGGTTTCCCTAGTAACTTTTAAATTTAGAGTCTGACCGAAAGTCGGCGGGTTATCATTCCCTGATCGCAATGATATTTACTTTTTGAGTTCTTAGAGTTAAATGGAAAGAATCAGAGGGTATGCGTATCTCAGTTCGAAAAAAAATTGTTTGTCCGTATAGGGTGGAACACCCTAGTGAACATCTTCATATTCTACATTATGATAGGTAAATACCGATGTGAAATGTGAAGAATAAGCCGAATATTAGACGATAATAATGTTTTCCTGAAAGTTTCAATTTCTATTATTTCCGAAAAGTTCGTACAATATAAATCTTATTGTATTCATAAAAATATGTGAGAATACTTGTCAACTACTTTAGCGAAGCATTTCTTAATAGTAAAGAACTCTGTGGTATACTCGTAATTTATTGCAAATGATATTTTTAATCTCCTGCCATCCTGGCTGTTGTATAAAAGCACAGTAGATGAAAGAGTTTAGAAAACGTTTCAGTCTACTTGGTGGGCTTTTTCAAGGTACGAAGACAAAATATTGAAAGATACAGTTTACAGGGTGTCCGCAAAGTTGGGGTTTTCCTTTTCAGAAACAACTACCCTTGAAATAACAAAGGTAATGTGTAGTGAAACGAGGGCGACCAAGTAGAAAAAAATAAAGGAAAAAGTACTCACTCTCCAGTTGACGAGAAGGGCTAAGTACGTCTCTGCCCGAAATCATACCGCTCCAACGGAAAATGAAATCAGCTGATGCGCTACCGAGCAGACGCAGAAACCACATTGATTGTCTTACACTTAATGGCACATCTTCTAACAAGGGAGGCAAAAAGTTGCGTTCTGTCGTCGGGTTGAGCCAGTGACCTTGTACCAGTCGGTGATGTCGCGGCTACAGGACGGTATTCAGATATTTTTGATGTTGCAGAGCCCTTTATCTCGGTTCCCTTAAGATATTGGTCTATATGGTACTAAGAAAAATTGCTTATGTTTTCAAGATCTAGACGTCGTGTAAAGGAAAACCCCAACTTTGCGGACACCCTGTATATCTTTTATATTGTACTCATTGAGGTAGCCAAAAAGTTAGTATTTTTTCCAATTAACATCTGTGATTTTATTCAACTGTCAGAATAGCATGACGATCAGTCATCGAGACAACCGCAGGTTAAGTTCAAGTACTGCATTGACGTCATTCTTGTTGCTCCGTAGCTAAGGTTAAAATGCTACGCCATCAGTCAGATATCTTCGTTAGATATCCTGAATCAAAGGAATGTCTTGTAAATAACCACAAAACTAATGGAGACAAGATTCTGATGTAATTACAAGTGATATTTTCGTGATTGGATGAGTAACTCAGAGTACTTTTCAACGTACGCTGAAAATTTGATTGCCGGTACATCCTAAACTACACGCCCAAATTACAGTCATATGTCCAGTGAATTTGTCGTGCAAAGAACTTATTTCGCCTGCCATTCTGAAAAAAAAAGGTTAGCCATAATGCACTATTTCATATAAAAGACAAATAGAGGGTTGTTTCAAAAATAAGGTTCCCACATTTATTTCAGGCACAAGACATTTTTTATTTGAAAAAGCAAATTCACTATTGGAAACGTTGATCTTTAGCTATTTTTCTACATGGTCGCCATTTTTTTCCCGTGCAGAGACTTTGTAAGTGCGTACGCTTAGGTCAGTTTGCTCCTGCGACCTGTCGGGCCTGTACTGAGCATCGCAGTTGGGCGCTTGTTGTTAGGATCGGTGGTGGGGCAGCCGACGGTGTTGCCAGATTTTGCCAAGCATCACACGCGGCAAAGTAACAGCGTTGGGAACCTTCTTTTTAAGACAAACTTCGTATCTACAAGACATTCACCCTAAAAACTCAACATCGACGAATTGAGTTCAAGTCACAAAATCTTCAATTAATTTTGTAATGTAAAGCCACCTAATATACTAAGTGACATATAAATCCGAACACCCAGTTTGAATGGTTTTATTTTAATAAAATTTTGTATAAGTACTTAATGAAGCATAATAAGTAAATGATAAAAATTTCAAAATGATTGCACTGCTTTAAAGCCCTTTGACCTTTAATAATATGTGATGTGCTACGCGTTCTCCAACGCGCCTAGGCATGCTTCTGATCAGGTGGTCAATGTCCTCCTGTGGTATCTCATTCCAGGCAACCACCAACTCCCCTCGAAGTGCTTCTAGAGTCTGAGGAGGACGTTGCAAATTGAGCAATCTCCTACCCATCATATCCCACAGCTGCTCAATTGGGGATAGGTCGGGAGATCTTGGTGGCCATGGTAACATTGTGACATCATTATGTTGAAAGAAGTCTATTATGACTTGCAACATGTGGTCGGTCATTATCTTTTTGGAAAGTTGGATCTGCCAGGGTGTCAAGATAGGATAAAAGATGGGGTTCTAGAACTTCGTAGATATAACGCTGCGCGTTCATGTTACCTCTGATGAAGATTAAAGGTGATCTGGAACCATAAGCTATAGCACCCCAAACCAATAACTCCAACAGTGTGATGAACATGTCTTTCAACAAAAAACTGTGGATTCCTCCTTTCACCACGTCGCCTTCTAACCCTGGCACGACCATCATGCATGCCTAAACAAAATCGAGACTTGTCACTAAAGACAATACTGTTCCATTCCTGATCCCAGAGTGACCGTTGTCTCCACCACTCACGGCGATTGCGTCGGTGTTCTCGAGTTAAAGGGAGGACCCAGTGTGGCCGGTATGAAAACAAGCCAAAACTCCTCATTCGTCGGTAAACACTTCGCATGCCAATAGGTCTTCCGTGTTCTGCAAACCATTCATTTGCAATGGACCTGGTAGTGGAGAAACGGTCCCTTAAGGCCAATAATCTTAGGCGGCGATCTTCACGGTCTGTTGTTCTACGGCGGCGTCCAGTGCCCCTTTCTCTTTGCGTACGGCCTTCTCGAAGCCATGCCTGACAACACCTAACCACAGTGTCTACACTTCTTTGCACTCTAACTGCAATTGCCCGAAAAGAAAGTCCAGCTTCCCGAAGTTCCACTATACGGCCCCTATCAAACTCACTAAGTTGACGAAATCGTACAGGTCTCCGTACTCTAGGCATCGTAACCGATCGTAAGGGATGTCAAGAACCAAAATCCGCCAACGTTGATTCTTTACTGCGGCTGAAATATTCATTTTTAGAGCGTTAGTGAATTAAAAAAAAGCAGTATAAAAACTGGAATGTTCAACTGATAAGGCTGAACATTTTTTCACTTGTTATTTAGAGTAAGATAAATACATTCATCAACTTTTATTAAAATAAAACCATTTAAACTGGGTGTTCGGATTTATATGTCACTTAGTATAGTTCAAGTTTCACTAAGAACCGATATCTCATATGCATGGTTCATTTCAATTTATATTTAAGTTCAAAAATATCTTACTCAAGGGTACGAATGTGATATTTCAAGCAAAACCTCAGCATTGACGATCTTCTTCTCGAGTTCGTTTCATAGATAGCAGCCTTAAGATGATCAAGCAGAAAATCTACATGTGATGTCAACAGGAACACGGCTTCGCAGACCAGGAGATATGCCTAAAAGCAGCGCCGACTATTATTTCTGTCTGTTTATATACAGGGTGTTTCAAAAGGACGTGCCAATATTTTTAGGGTAGAAAGTACATTCAAAATTAACACTGTAAGTTCTTATAAATATGGATGATGAAAATTAGAAAAATATATATCTATGGAGCGGGTAAAGCTACTGAGTTAGTATTTCAGACGTTCAGTGAGCACATCATCAGCAGTAAACTGACAAAGTTTACCGGTCCAAACTAAACCAGGAACGTAAAAACTGGGGCACATGGACTACTAATAGGAAATATTTTGTACATCACCGGCCTATTCCAGTAATTTCGTTTCTTAAGAGACTTTTGTCAGATTACTCGTTTTGGAGATATTTAGGTTTGAATATTTGGAGTAAGATCCTGAAATATTCTTATCAAAAGGTTTAGCCTCCCCTATTCTGAAAACACCGTGGAGCTTGATTTTTGAAACACAGGCATGTGAAGAAAGCCGTGACACCTCATTACTACAATTAGCGAATAATATGCGAGTCTTATCGGCAAAGAGTAGCGTCAAATCTTCCTGTGCACGGCCCAGAAAAAAGAAACTTGAAAACAAAGAAAACCTTTAAAGCTTATAAGAATTAAACACGACGACAAGAATCATTTCATTTGATACAGCTTAACTTAGTATATTTACCCGATCTGTAGATACAGGGTGTTTTCATTTATTGTAACTGATTGTAGGAGGAGCTGGTATACCAAAAACCACCTATAATAAAAGTTGCATAATAAAAGAAATAGTAAGAGATTAAAGAATTTAAAAAATAGGAATGCTATTACACATTTTTTTTATATTCCCGACAACTGTCGTGTACAATCTTAGACTTTTCTGTTTACTACCCTTATCGTTCATTTAAATTTGGCAAACTCTTTCTGTTATTGTATGTTTTTCAGTACGAGTCTTTGGTTCGATCAGTTGTATCAGTCTTTGAATAGTGCGTAATACTTTCTTTGTTTATTTTGCGAGAAAGAATGGCCCATCATTACGAAAACAATTTACTATAGTTCGGTTCCAAATTGGAAGGCAGTAGAGAACTGTAAGCGATGTTGTCACGCGCTCATCGAAGAAATCCACTGAAAGTCTACATATTGAATTTTTGCATGAACATTCAAATGTTGAACAATTTTCTTCTGGTCTCCTATTTAAAATAAGATATACTTCGAAGTTGAGTCATTTATTTTAACAGTGAGTAGATCTGATCAAAAGTAATTTTTTTTCCTTTACCATTTTTCTGGTAAAATTAAAGTAACAAAGTTATAGCCCTTTGGAAGTTTGAGTACCGCCCTGTCTCAATAATAATATTATGTGCTCGTGTTTGGCAACAACGGATATAATCCGCCTTATCGGTACATCGCATCGGAAACAAAAAAGCGAAAGAATTTGGAACGATGTTTTTACAATTTTATTCAGTTGTATTCAGTCAGTGTCAGTCGGTAACGCGTGGGTGAATAGTGGTGTTTATTGCGTGGCTTAAACGAAATAAAAAATGGCACATGTTTACGAAAATGCTGAACTTGTGGACATGATTCTTATTTACGCGGCATCACGGATTTATGCGGATCGGTTTCCCAATCGAGTGCAACCAACCCCTCGTGCCTTTGTTAATGTAGTACAAACGGCTCGTGAATCAGGTGACTTAGACCTCACAGGGGAGGGCATGCCGGTGCTCCAAGACCGCACGATCAAATACAGGTCCGCACTAAAATACTTGTCGGGAGGATACTTTATAAAACAAGGTAACATTTTTTTTTATTTTTTTTTAATTTTTACACACATATTTTGGTTTATCTTCCTTCTACAATCATTATCTGAAAATTAATGACTCAACTTCAAAGTCACCCTGTACAAGCAAAATCTTCAAACTCAAGTAGTCAAAGTCTAATCCTACATTAAGAAGATCAGTAGCCAGAATTAAGGCTTTGCGGTCTGCGTATCATTGGATGAGGTAGGCTTTATGATACTCAGTCGATGCAAATATTTCCCTCCCCTGGGAAAACCTCAATTTTCAACAGGTATGTCTTCTGGCTTATACCATGCCTATCCACGCTACGATGTCTCTTAAACTTTATTGAAAAACATTGGATTTGACAACATGGAGCAGTCCAAGCAAATTATGGATACGATGTTGCCAAATCGAATAATATTCAGGTATTCCCTTGATAACAGTATACTTTGCTTCGTGATCGAAAATATACAGGGTGACTTCGAAGTTGAGTCATTTATTCTAACAGTGAGTAGATCTGATCAAAAGAAATGTTTTTTTCCTTTAACATTTTTCTGGTAAAATTAAAGTAACAAAGTTATAGCCCTTTAGAAGTTTGAGTACCGCACTGTCTCAATAACAATATTATGTGCTCGTGTTTGGCAACAACGGATATAATCCGCCTTATCCGTTCATCGCATCGGAAACAAAAAAGCGAAAGAATTTGAAACGATGTTTTTACTACAATGTACAATCTTATTCAGTTGTATTCAGTCGATGTGTCAGTCGGTAACGCGTGAGTGAATAGTGAATAAAAAATGGCACATGTTTACGAAAATGCTGAATGTAGTACAAGGGGCTCGTGAATCAGGTGACTTAAGACCTCACAGGGGAGAGCATGCCGGTGCTCCAAGACCGCACGATCAAATACAGGTCCGCACTGAAATACTTGTCGGGAGGATTCTTTATAAAACAAGGTAACATTTTTTTTTATTTTTACACACATATTTTGTTTTATCTTCCTTCTAAAATCATTATCTGAAAATTAATGTCTCAACTTCAAAGTATTAGCTGCGACTACTATGTTTTTGATCAGGTCTGAAACTCCACCGCTATTCGTAAATTGTGAATCCGCAAATCAAATCCATAGATTCCCAGAACTGAATTTTTGCGAACCAACTTTCTGGAAATACCTATTTTAAACGTGAACGCTTCAATTCAACCGACAATAATTGAATATACAGGGTGTCCCGAAAAAAGTGTGCAATAATCTACCAGCGGTTTCTAGAGCTTAAAATAGGAAGAAAAGTTTATATAAACATAGGTTGACAAATGTCCCCTAAGGGCGCTACGGTCTTTTAAAGGGGCTCCCCTGATGATCTTTTTTCCTTAATATTTCCGAAACGTGTTGAGATAAAAACATAAAATTTGGTATTGTAGCCTATTTTTTTATGCTGGATGTAAAAATGTTAACAATTTTAGACAGTTTTGTTTGGAAGCGTATGTAACAGGGACGGACTCAGGTTATTTTAGTCCCAAAATTTTTGTGTGATTCTATTTTTGAAATTCAATTTTAGCATTTGAAAATTTAGGGTTTTTTACATAAATAAGGTACTCCCATTGAATATCGATAAATTGTGCCATTTTTAAATAAAATCAAACTAAAAAATTTGTCACATGATAGGAAATGTAGTGCGAAGTTAAATGAATTGTTGATTATACATAGTTAGCCATGACTGCAAACAAAAGTTGTTTTGATTTGTTATGACTTATTTTGACGTTAAGCTGGCATTGTTAGCAGTGTAAAATTACTATATTAAAATCAAAATTTATATTAAATCGATTTAAAATAGCGTCATTGCCCAAAACTTTGTTGCATAAAAGGCACATAGGCGATTGTTTGTCCTGCAATGATGGAATGAAGCCAAATTTCAAATAATCAACACTGTACTGTCTACATTTCTTTTTAGATTCGGACATGGCATCAGTCATCTGTGTGCAAAATTAAATTATTTAAATAGGACAGAAAATCCAGCAGCTGTATATTAAAAATATTTTTTGATTTTTCCGAAAACATTCCATAATTCGGACTTCTTCTTGCAACAATTAGCTCGAATTACGGAGATTGCACTGTAATTATATTACCGATTGCTAAAACTTTCGGAAAAAAACTATTGTGTAATTTTGCATGACTGAATATTTAACTACTAATAACTAAAGTGATGATTGGCGTAATTTATCTATCTTTGCTAACTACGAGTACAAAACTAAAATTTAATAAATAATTATGTACTTACTTTTCTCCAGCACTCTCAAACGAAATAAAACTGACTCACTATAATTTGTGTGATATACTATCTGTTTATATTTTTTAAAATATTTTCTTAGCACTTTCCTTTTCAAGATTCAGGAAACGAATAAACGTATTTGTCCCCAATTCGTATTTATAGAGTGACGAATTGAACAAGTCAGTGCAAGGTAGCGAAGCTCTGAGACTGCGACTCTCAGGTTTTTACAAGTTCAAAATGTATTGCGACCACAAAGCGAATACCAACATCCTACAACTTACATAATTTTATAAACATATATAATACATTTTTTACTTCATAGGTACTTTTATAAATAATGTATATGTTTTGATATTATAAGATAGTATGATGTAAGTAAATAGGTACTATCAGTGTACGTGTTGAGATCCACTATCGCGGACCCCCATATTCATTTCATGCACCCCCAAATTTTTTTTCGCGTAGACGTAGACCTCTTGCAGGTTGTCATAGACCCCTAGGGGCCGATATAGACCACTTTGGAAATCAATGTGTTAAAGTAAATGACTCAGCTTTAAAAATACCCCGTATAGTTCGCTCAGCCCTCAAGAGTCGTCTATGAAACAGACTCTTAATGCATGCAAAACTAAGTTGGAGTTCCTACTTTGGTCAACTTGTAAATAGGCAAAGTTCACTTTGAACAGAAGAGTGAGCGGCTGATTGAAAAATTGTAGATGCTTTAACATATTTATACTTACTTGAGTTCCTGGTGAGTACAGTGTAATACAAACTGCAACCTGTACTAGAAAAGCTAATGGTGCACTTACATGGATCGGTAGCCACATTGGGATCAAAGAATAGCAGTACAGGTTACTATCTGTATGTTGTTGTATGCGATCGCAAGGACCGCGTCG